TGGTCACTTGCAGTATGCACCGCTATGTTACGGAATGCCTCAGTCCAGCTATCAGTCGCGAGCTCTTGATCAAGTCTGGTGGGAACTCCTTGCAGGCCGATGACCCAAAAGGTACAATCAATGGTGGATCTTGACTCATGCGACAGAATACTAGAAAGCTGTCCTCGTACAGTATCTGGGGTTCGCAACACGTAGCTGCTTTCAGGCGGGAATGGAATTGCCCATCTCCAGGTCTCCCATGGCTGCAGAAAATGGGACAGTCTCTTCAATCCAGTCCATGTCGATGTTCTTTGGCTTTGCATCATAGAAGTGACCTCCTCATCGGCAAAAGTATCATCTTCCTGTCGAGTACAACGGGGCCCCTCATATCGGACAAAAATATGAATCTTCATGCCCTGGAAAGGCCTCCAATGCACAAATAGAGGCAATTCACGATAATTGTACTGGACAGAGCATTCGTAGTCCGGATCGAGACAAACATCTGTCAGATGTACAAGTTCGATCAGATCAGTCGTCTGTAGGGTTTCTGGCAAGCCAACAAGATTCCCCAGGAAGGGTTTTTCTTCTCCAACATGCCATCCCACTACATAGACCATTGAAAGCTCTGGCGTCCGTTCTCGTGGCCCCAACACTATACCCTAGGGTTCATCGACTGTTTTTAAAATAGGCTTGCAGCCGCGACCTTAATTATCAAGGAGCGACTATTTTGATGGGAAGATCTGAATCTGAATATCCACTGTGGTGGATAGCTGCGCGTTTCAAACCTCTCAGTTAATGCTCAAAGGAGGGCCTGAGACAAGGGTCTCAACAGCCCTGTGTGGAAATAAACTAGAAATGGAAGGTGTATCAGGTTGATTTGTCTACCCAACACTGGATAGGCACATACAGGATATAGCTGCAACATTCCCAATTTAGATGGTTCACCATGCATGCATGTGCATGCACAGTGTTTATTCAAATTGCATGGATCGAAGTCACATGCCCAAACTCTTCCCCACGTGCGCTATGTATGACGGGGCTGGCCTGATCCTCATCAATGAGAAAAGCTTTGAAACGACGTGCAGGGCTTGGTTGTAGCTTTCAAGAGTGAAAAGCACAGCAAAGTTGTTTTGGATAGGGGGGTATCGGGGGTTCATCCTTCCCACTTGATCTAGGTTTCTTTGAGACATCGACAGACGGTGACATCGTGGATTTGGACAAGGAATGCGGTACGCCTCCGCCTCCTTGTGCGTCCTGCATTGGGAATGCTTGCCTTTTTTTCAAACGCCTGATCAGGTGTTTAGCATTGCAACATTCAGCATTGATTGCATGAAGTTTGTGCAACTGTGCATTCATGCACGCATGTTATTTTGAGCTTGCAAAGTGTCATATGTGCAACTTGGACACTGCAGTATGTGCACCTCATATGACTTTTTTTTGGCTTGGCTCCATGAAGTGGTCGGGCTAACAAAGAAACGGGGATGAGTGCATCTTGCATGCATGCATGCACATGCATGGCAATCGATATAGAGGACACTTTTGCACTGGCTTGTGGTCACTGAACTTAGCCATGGCGTCTTCAGCAGTGGCACCAGCACCAGCACGCATCACTCGGACAGAGGAGGTTAAGGTGTTTGGGCTAAATGAGCTAGTAGTTAAATTATTATGTTGATCGATGGTGGATGGGTGGTTTGGTTTGCGCAAGATTACAAGCAGCTAGACCGCTTTGATCGAATTGACCTGCGGAGGCCTTCCTCATGGACCTGGTTGAAGACGATGAGTTTTTGCAACAGCGCAGAAGGATTCTACGTCAACGTGCTGGACTCACAGAGAAAGACACAAGAAAGGCCATGCCTGAATTTGAAGAGTGGTCAGGTGTGCTGTGATGCGTTGATTTTGTTGGTTCCTGGCTTATATGACATGACTTCTGTATGAGAACCATTGGACAAACCGGTGTTGTTTTGGGGACTTTGACGTTTGGGAATATCATCCGCCATTTATCCCATGATCCTTTCATGGATATTTTGGTCTCTAGATTCGATGATGCTTGCTTAAAGTCTTTGTAGTCGAATGGATCGGACCTTGTACAGGGTCACAGCCACATTGGGATCTTTCAGGATCCATCACCCCAACTCCAACCAAATTTAACTAGCACAGTGGAATCGAGAATGTTTGTGCGCATCCCACCCACCTTTCGACTCCACTAAGGAGTGAGCAATGATATCATCTAGAAAATATGTTGTTTTCCCAAACACGGGAGCTTTGGCTGCAAGGTCCCCAAGTGGCAGTTCATCATCATCGAGAAAACTCGGGTCACTTCTCGGGAGGCCCTTTTCTCACTTTGCTGCGTCTGTGTGACTAGCGTGCGCACGCATGCAAGTGAACCTTAATCCCTGGGGTCAGCGATGCTGCACCACATGCTCATGGATCAGGTGGAGTCTGACCACAACTTCAGCATTGTCATGGACTTCCTAGCGAGCTTTGCAGATGACATCCCTCCTGCCAATGACATCAAGGACATGCCGTTGAACTTACAGAACGTAAACATAATATATGCATGCATATATATATATATGTATAAACATTAAACTCTTCAATGTAGCTGCTGGGCTCAAATTACAACGGAATTACATTCCAAAGTTATTGAGTTATACGTAATAATATACGATCACATGTGTATGTGCAAACCTTGCCCCAACGTTTTGGAGGATGCACTAACTTGGTGCTCGATGTTCTACAAGCTGAACCCCTGGAGTGAGCGTGCCCTTCATGAGGCCTCCCATCCTGCATTCCTACCAGTTGACTCGGGCTGTCAGGATGTACATGTTGTCATGGTCATATGATGCGCTAGGCCGCATATTCACACAACAGTTGAAAAGACAATCACAAAAGTTGATCAATTCATGCAGGATCTTTTGTTAAGAACTTCTAGTCTGGTGTTTTGATGGCTGCGAGGCCTGGGCTGACACTGAAGGTGGTATCCTTCGGGGCTGTGCCGCATACTGCTTGGACAGGTTCCAACGGTTTGCAAAGTCCAGGCAAGGCTGCTGCCTTTTGATGTGGTGGGAATCGATACCGGTTTGCTCAAGTTTGGATCGCAATTGCGCCCATGGTGCAATATAAATTTATATAATTGATCATAATTTCTTAGTTCATCAGCTTGATCAAGTTTTACAACCGTCGTCCCTAGATAGGAGGCCCCTGTAGAAAGTACTGTACACTGTGAAACGTCGCGCACGTTGCAGGCCAGGGCATGACCGCATGGATCAGATCAGGGGTGTGATCCGTGCAAAGCTTGAGGACTGCCAGCCAATATGTCAAATAACGTACGTACGTGATAATTATAAGATATCGTCCAATAATGATAATCTTGCAAGTGATTGAAAGCACCCCTATTTAGATCGATCGATAGATTGATATAAACGTTGCAACAGTGCTGCTTGATTTCTGGAATGGTGTCTCAGAAGCACATCAATCAACTTAGATCGATAGATCCAAGATCCAAATCGATTTTCTTTTGTTCATGATGGGCCTTGCCAAGCCATGCGACGCGTTCGAACAGCACCCTCTCAGGAAGCTGGACGCCTGTCTCCTGAAGGCAAGAAAATACCGTCCCGGGGCATTGGTGCAATGAGGTTGAAGCAGGCTGAGGCCCTCTTGTCGGATGGATGATTGTTGCGTTCACCCAGCTCGAATGTTTCTTCCTTTCACCGAAATCTCATGAAATCTCGACTCTGGCTGTGTCATTCCCCAATGCTTCACTAGCTAAATTACCATTTAAGATTTTGAGTGGGGGCTGCCCTGAGGCTGCCAAAAGAGCCGTGAACATGGACATGGTGGAGACCCAAATGCAGGACCAAGAAGATTCCCAGGCTGCCTTTTCAGCACTATCACCGATCCGGCCAATTCAGAGCTTGGACGAACTTCAGGCCCTTGCTGGCGAAGAGCCGGCCCAGGATGAAGGGGAAGAGGAAGGGGAGGAGGAAGAAACAACCGATGATGAAGAAGTACCAGACAGTGATGTTGTTACAATCCATGACAACATTTGTATCGAGATACCGGATGAACCCAAGGTGGAAGAGGAATCAGTCCCGCCTGCTCCAATGAAGCCCGCCGAGGAAGCTATGGAACCAGCCGATCCCCACCCCACTGCTCCTGCACCTCTTCCAGAGAGCAGGTCAAGTCACCCAGAACCTGTGGCGCCAGAGGAACCGGCTGATGGTCCAGGGGCCAAAAGGGGTGAAGGAAATGAGCCACTCCAAGAAATAGAGGTCAAAGAATTTGAGCAGGTCCAAGAACTCATTGATTCAGAACAGGAGGAAACACAGGACCCAAATTCATCAAAAGGAGTTTTCAAGGTGGGACCTGCAGTCGGGCTTTTGTGGATTATGTTTCGGTTCAATGCATAGGTTGTGGAGTCAAACATTATTCACATGCAGCTTTTGTAGAACTTCTTGGGAGCTTATGTAATGATCGTACCTACAGGTGCAGACTCATGCTTAGGGTATATTGTAAAACAATGTAAAACACATAGTAGGCCTCATCTTGCTTTCAGGACCGGAAGGCGCTAAAGGAAGAAGTGAAAATTCCACAGAGCCTCCAAGAACAGGCCGAAGAGCAGCTGAGACTTATCGAGCCTGTTGAGGCAGCAACAGAGGAATGCAAAGCTGAGATTGCCAAGGCTGCATGTCGTTTTGGAATGTGGGGTGGGTTTGAACCGGGTCGCAAAACGACCTTAACTTTTCATGCATGGTCATAGCCCTCATGGCCTGTGGTCATTGCATTTATTAAAGAATCCAATAATGCACCTGGGCAGTGTTTTGACTTCTGTTAAAAAACGATCAAGGTCCATGCATATCCATCTCCAGGGCTTTTCATGGATGAACTAGTGCACACTGATGTTTCAAACGGACGACCTCGAAGATTCAGTTCTAGGCTCTATGCAATGAACCAAGATTAATTTAAACACCTGGCTGAGCTTTTACATGAAACATCGATCACTTGCTGCCCCCAGCCGCAAGGCACAGGCAGCTCTTCGAAAAATGCAAAGGGAAGCTGAAGATCCTGACAAAGAGATGCGGGAAGAGTTGCAGGAGGAAGAGCATACAAAGAAGACCAAGAAAGACAAAACCAAGGAGAAGAAGGCATGTCGAAAGGGTGGAAAGGGCAAAGGCCGAGGACGTGGAAGGGGAAAGGGAGCAAAGACTGAAAAGAAAAAGGATCCGGATATGCCTGAGAGTGGGAGGGAGAAACCGGATGATGAGAACCTTCCCGATCCGCAAATGCTGGGAACAACTGAAGTGGCAGAACCTTCCTCGTCAACAAAGAAGAGAAGGACACTTGGGAGGAAGAACTCAAAATTGAAAAGACTGCGAGTTCTATCTCCATCGAGCTCGGCCAAGAAGAAGCGCAAGACAGATCGTGATCCTGAAGCGCCGGCAAAACCACATGAGCATGATGTTGTGGAGGTGATTGACGACGATGAAGAACCAGCCCGTGTTAGTGATGAGAGGTCAGGGCCTACTGATGGTGATCAGATTCCCAACTCTAAGAAGACAGAAGAAAAGAAGAAGAAGAAGCGTCGTAAGAATGGAAAGAAGGGAAAGAAGAAGGCTTTGAAGAAGAAAACGCCCAAAGAGAGGAAAGCAGCCGATCCAAAGAAAGAAGTGAAAGAAGGTGAGGTGAAAGAAGGTGAGGACAATAGCAAAACAAAGAGGAATACCAAGAAAACCAGTAAGGAGACTGAGGAGGAAAAGAAACAACGGGAACTTGAAGACAAGGACATCAATACTGCCTTGGATCCCATGTATGATGCCCTCATGCATGCATAATTAACATGACATGCGTATTATGGAAACCTCCAAGTGTGGATGCTGGGTCAACGGCAGTGTGGACTAAACCAAATTGCTGTTGTAGTCACTGCGTATGTCAGCATTGTCTAACACCAAAAACATGATTCCTGTTCTCCAGATTTACTTGGCAGCAGGAACGGAAGTGGAAGCTCCTTTGTGAAGTCGCCCAGCAAGATGGCTGCATGACCCTGGCAAAAGACATGTGCAGTGCAAAGCGTTGGCCCAAGACATTCCTTAATTAATGTTGTTCTTAAGAGATGAGTTGCCACCAAAACGATGTCAACTACACTAGATCTAGTCGACTTGAACAAATCTGATTATGTTATTTCGTTGATTTGCTGTGCTTATATGGAATCTACCATGCCACTGTGAGAAGAACCCACAACTTAATTTACAAATTTGCTCAGGTCGTTCACCCTGCATCCTCCTGATGGCTCAACTCCACCTTCCGGAACTGGCAAGTGCTCAACCATTGGGGTTTTGTTGGGTGCTTAGATCGAATTATATATATAATATATTGTATACAGGCTCCTTCAAAACAACATAAAAAACATACTGCTGCAGTGTGTGTGTGGTTTCTCAGAATGTCTCCAGGTTTAGGACTCTTGACCACCCTTTGACCAGTCAAGTCTCGGTCCAACCGGCGCCTCAGGTTGCAGCAAGCCAGGAGCCAGAGCGCAGCCTTCCATGTCGGGCTGGCCGAAGGTATCACTGAGAGGGTTGAAGAGTTGAACAAGACCCATGATGCTTCTTTCCAGGCCATCTTCTTTGCCTTGAATGGAATGGGATGTAAGTAACATGGAATCTGAATGAATGAATCTACCAAAGACGGTCATCTAATCTACCAAAGAAAGTCATCTCAAAATATCTGAATCTTGACATGACGTGTTAACACCAAGGATCTCAACCTTAGATCTCAAATCACTGCAGGTTCGGAAGAAAGGTGTCACTGTGGGATGGACCGGCAATGGAGGATGTGCTACATCGCACGGGGCCACAGCCCACTGCATCGATTCGATAGTGTTTATTCAATTTTTTGGTATATTGTATTTTCGACCATGAGTTCGATTTGCGCCAAGATTACAAGAGAGATTCCGATCCTCCATGCATTTGATCCAACCCAAGACACACTTGTTTGTAATCGATCTATGTGCATGACTTGCAAGGGGTGCTAGCTTGCTTGTCCACAAGAAACTGCCAGACTGTGTGAAGAGGGAACGCACCATAGGAGCTCAAACAATACTTTACTTGGGTCCTCTTTATGAACTATGCCTCTGCAAGCTTTCCCGTGCCGTGCAAAGGTGGAATTTTGCGAAGACCATTGCCGGGTGGCCACAGATGCCGCCGAAGACCCAATAGCCCATTCAGGCTCCCATTGTTTTTTTGGGAGGTCTTAGGTTTTCATGCGACCAGGTGGCTCCTAGTCTTGATAACTTAGATCGATCAAACTGGATCGAAGTGTATCAAGGAGTCGTGGCCGCGGTATGAAGCATGATCTCCCAAAGACAGTGGAGCAGTTTTACCAATCGGGGAAGGCACAACTGTGCAATATTAGTTTGTGTCCGATACACCAGCTAGATCGTCATCTTGTCATCTCATCATATGAACCAATTTTAAAACTCATGTAAATTTAAATATATTAATAATAATATAATACTGTTGTTGTGCAGTTGGCCCACGTAGATCTAGTCGACGCGTGACGGTGCTGTGCCTGGACACCACTGGTGGAAAGCAGCCTCGGGTGTGAGATCTGGCATGTATAAACTTGCTAGCTGATCCTCGGAGTGTTTTTTATTATGCAAATCTTGTTGTCCAGTATTGCGCAGTGCTAGGGACATCTTCCATGCAGCCGTGCATGCATGGGAGTTAGTTTTGAATAGAGCTCAGCAGGGTAGCCAAACAACATGGGGGAAGACAGTGGAAAAATGACCGAACCTTTGTCGTTGAACCCATTGTAGCTCAGCAGAGCGAAGTTGCAATCATCACCAAATGACTATTAATTATTAATATTATCTGGAACGCTCAGAGACTGTTCATTCATCGTGTGATTTGCCGACATCATGTTTGAACATGGTTTCTCGAATAGCCATTTGGAGGCTCAGTTCTGCTTTTGAGTGAAACAGTCGATCACGATGGCCGGTCGGTCTCGGGATTGGAGAACCAACCCTATAGCGCTTAGTAGGAAGACTGCGTCGCTCCTGATGTCATGGGGGGTGCCTTTGTTGCTGCTTCTAGTCTTGCAACAGTGGCATGTGATTTCTGAATATATTACTATAGTTATATATATATAATATAGAATAATTGTGTCATGTGAGTTTTGGCACATATGTTCCCTATTACATTTAATATCATATCGATCAGTCCCTCGCGCCCAGGTTTCATGCATGCGATATGCTGGCGCAAACGGTCCCCCAGGAGTACTGCGCACGGGTCTGGTGCCAAGCAAATTTCAGCTATATGACAGTTTATGGGTGCTCAAGCAACAGAATGCATGATGCATGAGCGTCTTCGAAACCATAGCATGCCTGTGAAAAAGGCAAAGTTGCAGTTCAATGCTTCATGCATGTTAATTGTTGATGACTAATTCACACATGTGTTTCTTATTATTTCATCCATAAAGAAGGGTGGAGTTGAAGATGGCATGCAAGGAAACAATATTTGATCTAGATACCTTTAAAACTTGCATGAATAACAGTTGAACGGTTGCAGATCTTTTCTTTTTCAACAAATTGAATAGAGATCACTCGTACTCCATGGAGGTACAAGCAACAATAGACCGGCTGGCCTATATAGATGACATCTTTTCAGTTCTGATCTTCATTTATCACATACAAGCAATTATTGTTTGGCTGTTTGTTGCCTGGCTACAGTACTCAAACGCTTATCGCACGTGTGGGTGTTATATGTTCTAGTATAAAATAGAATGCCATTTATAGCAAAATATATGTTGACCGAATCTAGAAAATATAGTACGTATAGTAGTTACTTACTATTCAACTAATAAGTATTGTAATGTCGTATGATCTACATAAGCCCTGCGAGTCCTGGTCCATGCCCAGAGCAGGCCTGGGTGTCGGGCCATCTCAGCCGTGCCAAGGAGATCCTTTGCTTGGATGCCTTCTGTGGCCAGCGTGAGGTGAGCAAAGCATTTGGCCGGGGGGGCCCAGTCAAATTGGTAATATTCAAACGGATAGTGATGATCAAGTTTTGAACATGCTGTTTGGAGGGGACAACCATGAAACGACCACATGTGAAACCCTGCACGGATATATGATATACACCTTCACAAACTTGCAATTATCAAAATCTACAAGAGTTGCGGCTACAAAATTCGCTTGGCTAGAAAGACTTGCACTGTCTTTGGAGGTCGCGCAAAGATGCCTGCGTGAGAGCCTAAGAAATCTGTCGCCGCGTCGGCCAATTGGTTTGTGAATTAGGAGGGACACCTTGCTTATATACACACATGATCGTTGTTGAATTACACTGGTCTTTGCGATTGTAGCCTCAACTAAACTTGAGGCATCAGCACCATTGCTATTCAATATACTTTGTAAACTAGCTAGTGTAAGTTCACTCATCATGTCTGCATAGTACAGACCTACAACCTTTATATCAGCGGTGGTGGTTCCTAGAAGTAGTCTGTGTATGTTCCAATCAGCTTCATTGCACCTTCCAAGCCCTATGAATCTGTCGACCCCTGGCCTCAAAAAGCCCATGGGTGTATCACCGCATTGCCTGCGAGAGCGTGCGCCCAGGGACTACTTCGACGTGGAGCTGATGGGGGACTTTGGCGACATCATGTCAACGTTTCTCAGATTGCATGTGCTCCATCAAACCCTTATTAGATAATTTGTGCACACACAATGGAATCATCTTGGCTTCTGAATCACTGTAGGATGCTATATAATATATAATATTAAATACATATTTATTATATATTATATGTAATGTCATATATATATATTATATGTTTTAATATAATATTGATCTGCCCAACCAATCCAAGTTCGCGGTTGATGATAATGTAAATAGTAAATATTATTGGCTGGAGAACTCACACTGTTTGCCCTCGCTTAGGAATGGTTTCTACAATTGCCTCCTCAAGGTCCTGAGGCTTTGCGACGGCGGCCTCATCATGGGGGGGCCGCCCTGCGGCTCTTTCGTTTGGGTGAACAGGGCCACCAGCAAACGCTCCAAGACAAGAATCTTTGGAGACACAACACGTGAATACGTGAAAAAAGCCAATGCGATACTTGTCTGAGACCGTGTTTCTTACAAATTCTTGATGTTGCATCTGTTGACTTGTTCTTTTTACAAATCTATCGATCTCCTGACAAAGGGACTCTTTGGGAAATAAGGATCACTGCTCGATTTGTATTGCTATGCCTTGTGGCCATTGCACAGGGATGTCAAGTTATTTGGGAGCAACCATCCTCATCACTTATGCTCGAATTTCCCTACCTGAAGTACCTGGCAGTGATCATTGATCCTGTAAGATGGGGAAAGGTCCGCTTGTTCGAGGCTTAGTGTGTTTGTTTCCAATTGCAGTTGTGAAATTTACAACGATTTATTTTTATTTGTATAATGAAGCTGATGCTGACATTTTATACTTGCAACTGAGCCCTATGGGAGCGTTTGGCCACCCAAACACGAAGCCCACGGTTCTCTTCGGCACACCGCGTCTAGCTTGCACAACCTTCGTTCAAATATGTTACGACTTGCCCTTTAATGCAGTTAATATAGACCAGTCTGTCAAACCCGCTCAGGCCCTATTTGGAGACCTTCAAGCGGAAGCTGTCTGCTAAGGACAAGCGCCGCATTCAGAGGAACAGATTGATTAAGAAGCATCAGATGGTGATCAAGACCATCAATAAAACCTCTGGGAAAACACAGGTGTGTCTTGACTCAGAAGCGAGTACGTAAAACTCACGCACGTACCAAGTCATCATATGCAGTGCATATATTTTCTGCTTGTACAA